ACAATATATTATGTATTATATTATTAAAATATTAGATATAGAATAATTATAAACATTAATTGGATTTGTTTAATCATTTTTTCTTAATAGCTGTTATTATGTATTATAATGTTTGTATTACACCTTCGAATACATTCATTTTGATAAGAAATATCTCTATTTTAATTAATCATTAAAAATCGATTCCCTGTTAGAGAAGACATTGGATATCATTAACTAAACTATATTATAGATGGCTGAAGCAGAAAATAAAAGGAATTTAAGTATCTATTTGTCAGTGTTAAGTCCGCTTCATAAAATTCTATCTTTTATAATTAAAGACATAATACCTATAATACAAAAAACTTATTAAAGTGATTTAAAAAAAAATGACACTTGTGCATCTATTATCTATGGCCCATTCTCATAACCGGAAATATGGGTTAGCAGTTGACTATCTTTTTTTATCTCCCATGCGATAATCCTAAATAAATATACGAACAGGATTTCCATTCACTATTTTATTTTATGTGTCTTCATACTGAATTGTGATAAATATTTATACAAACGTTCCTACACTAATGAATCTATGATATTATACCATTCATTTCCATGTCAATACATTATCACCCGACTATTAGACATTCTTCTCACAAAAAAAGTATTTAGTTCATTAGTACTATTGAAGGGACTAGCGTTACCAAGCGTCCGGATAAAGGTGGATATAGTTAGTCTTTTTGATGGCGTGTTCGACCTACGGCTTGCTTGTCCGGCTTCTTGCATTATTTATTTTTACACTTTATTGCACAAGATACAGAAAAAAAGAAATTGTAAAACAAAAAAATCTTTCTATTCTTTAATTTAAAGTGGAAAAGTTTTGTTGTGTATAGATTGCTTTTTTAATTTCGTTTCCTTTAAAAGTAGCAGCCAGTAAATGAGACTTACTTGCGCAATTGTCTTTCGTTAGAATTTATAAAATATATGGTAATGACCAAAAAGTTTCATTTTACATAAAAATTTTTTGTCGTACCTATTGATGCTAGACACAAAATCATCAATAATGTATGTCTTTTTTTTTTTTAAGGATGTTAATGGAATGGTCCTGCGCTAACGGTTTTGGCCCAAATGTCAGGTCGGCCCATCACAAATTCACGATGGTTTCCAGGGGGAACCGCGTGGAGGTCAACCTGACATGGTACATTGCTAGTAATGGGTTATAAAGTCCAACAATCCCCTTTCCCCCTAATGTAGGGTGTCCGGCCTTTTATCCCAAATGTCCGGTCAAAATGGCTGGTCTCTCCGGCTATTAGGTTTGGCGACCTGGCATCCGTAGTAGGGACTGGTCTGCTCTGATAACGGTGACTGATTTACTGTGCTCCTCAAGTAACTATTGTATTTATTTACTTTTTGTTAATCTTGCTATTTGGCAGTTTGTTTTCACACAAAATATTACTACAATGCCAAATAACATTTATTTAAATAAGCAACTAGCTTTCCTTTCTCAAAGTTTCTTTTCCGTTCTTCTGATGAGTCTGCTTTCCGAATGAGTGTGTATCAAAAAAATATGACTATTCAAAAGTAGTAGCGATACATTATATCCTTACTCCGCCACACGTCCACAGCGTGATACTAGGTAACGTGCGAAGAAACTAATCCGCGACCATCGGAAGTAAATCAGCTCAACCTCTAGATCGCCGAGGACGGCCTCGCTCATGTTTAGGCATACATGTTTACGGAAACATTTATGTTTGCTGAAACACCGTGAGTCTGCGGATCATATGTAAAAAATAATACTATAAATTCAGTAATTTGAGCATTCATTCTGACATACTATTCCCTTAATTTCGACATTAGAGAACTTAAATTCTGTACTGAACTTATTATTCACATTAACTAAGAAAGAAATTTACTTTTGATTATATTTAAAAAAACTACACGTTTTAAAAGGAGTTCCCAATCGATTTAACCTCACGACTTCTGAATGAGACGGAAGATTCGTATAATCTATCATTAAGAAAGAGACAGACAATGTTGTACTCATCGTGTAAATATTTTAATAAGCTTTATTGGCTACCAGAACGGATTACGTAAATTATAAAATTATATATGGATAAAACATAATATTTTTTCTGATAATAAAATTTTAAGATGCAAGGTGCCTTCGTGAATGATAGTCATAATTGTAAGTAATATAATATTTATTTTAACAATAGTATCAATTTCAACACTTGTAATAAGAATAAAGGAAAATCTTAAAGAAATATAGTTGAAAGTAACTCTAATCCTGTGACTTTGTACCAACGGTATTCGGATCAACAATAGCTGATAATATTGTTTGTAAAATGTTTACAATTAAATAAGCACTAAATAAATAATATCTCAGGACAATTCACGACTTAAAATTTAAATTAATTATGGTCGAATTTCGATCATTGGGCGAACACTAGTATATATAAATGTAACAAGAACGTGTAGTTATTTAATAACAAAAATCTATACATATGTATATGCTCAACACAAAGGACTCACAAACCAAATAGAAATCTGTTATGTTTGGAGAAAATATCATATAGCATACATACATTAAAAATCGTAACGACAACCTCTTTTCGGCAATCGGTTAAAAAGCGTCTACTGCATAAGCTACATTACGTATTCGTTTGTAATTTAGAGTTGTTTACCAAGAATTTTACAACGTGTAACACAAGTCTTGGCAAAAGGCGAAATCGATACTATGAAGAAGTTATGTTAATGCACTTGCTTCGTATCCACTTCCTGGGGGGAGGTCGGTGTCGCTATCCGATCCCACAAAATATAAATATAGAACTTGCTACTTAAGGCGAAGTATTAAAGACTATTTTATATTACACAAAAAATATCTTTAACCGATTTCAAAAAGATGATTCAATTAGACTCAACTTTTTTATTAATTCTGAATTGACTAATATTAACAATGCAATGTGTCTGTCTGTCTATCCGCGTGTTAGTTTTTCAAGATTAAATGGCTATTATATCTAAAAGGAGCTGATGCAACAGCTATTTATTATTATTATACATTACACTAATATTTTTACTTCAATAAAGTTGATAATTTTATAATAATGATAAAATAATACATTGTTATGTACTTGACGTAGGCACATAGCAAGAATACCGATAAAAGTCAAGGAGAAAAATAATAATAATAATTTATTTGTGACTGATTTTGCGTACTTTATATGATGTTATGGAAAAATTGGTCCTTAAAAACCTGCTTAAAAGCAAGATGGCTTGTAATAAAAGAACCTTAACGAAAACAATGGAAAGTTAGGGCGTCACCCATGGAAATAGGTCACCGGTAACATTTTGTGAGTGGTAGCAACAAACAAAACGCAACCTGGAACGGCGGGGAACCACGAAATGTATTACAATATCAGTAATGGGACTAAACAGATAGTGTTGTAGATTATTTTTTAAATACGGAATTATATAAAATAAATACTATAATAAAGACTTAAAAAAAACGCATGCAGACTAAAAGGCACTGAAAAAATACCCCTGAAAGAAAAGGTGATGTATTAAAAATATTTATATACCTAATTGATTATATAAATATTTATAATACAGCACTTACAAATTTATTAATAAACTAATTGTCAACCGCGACTTCGTCTGCGTGGAATAAAATAACCATAATTATTAAAATAAAAGTAGTTCAAGTTACTCCTTACAACGTTAGCTATCTGTGAGACAAAGTCCTGACATATTTGGTTCAGCCGACTTACTATACCGAATAGTTATTATGAAACGAGAATAACTAACCCGATCAGAATAATAAATAAAAACTCAATTCATTCATTCACATTAGTTCTAATTTTATTTTTAAATACCCAATATACTATACTAATATATATAATGGTTTTTTCTATACACCCAGACCAAAAAAACAATTCACATGGCATGCGAGAATCAAATCCGCCACCCTCGAAAGTAATGCAGTAGCCTAAACCATTTTATCACCGGGAGCCTCAAAATGAATATACAACGTAATACCAAATGGTATACATTGGTGTTACATTCCACGACATGAAACATACATCTGAAGCATTCTGTAGTTATTTAGTTCAAGGGCTACCGTAATATTTGTTTACTGCCTCCTACCCACTGTACTACAGTATTTTGCAATCGAGTTGATTGATTTCATTCGTATTTAAATATATACGTTGTTTTTAAACGAATTTGGTGGTCTTGGGAGAATCCATTAAAAATATTTTTTCCTTGTAATGATAGACAGATTAATTCGTTCATAATATCCCATTAGTATTAGTACTATCCTTACTTGTATGCTCTGTGCTCTTATGCCCGCAATGTGCCAGGATTTTTATAAACAAAATTGGCTACTTAAGCCTACGTCAACATCAAAACCGTAGTTGTAAACAGTTGCCGTGGCCGAAATCGGTCGGGATTATATCAACATCATCATCCTTACTTGAGTCACTATTACTTCTCCATACAATCTTTCATAATATTTATAAGTATGTTGTATTAATCCACAATTTATAGATCGAAACAGTTAACCCAAGACAGACTGTAAAAAAACTCGTCTGGATGAGTAGGTACCTCAGTCTCACTTATTTCAGCCGCCAAGTAGCTTGTTTTATAGGCTGTATTTCGATCGAGTTCGGCATAACATCTTAGTTCTCTGGAATGGCAACGAATGGGTGGTATCACGAAGGAAACGACAACGTAATGTTCATAGTGCTATTCATGTACAGGAATATATGTAGATATACGGCAATATGATATTTATGATGGTTCATTATAACTCAAATTTTAATTAAATATACACAAAGATGTAGAACTTATAAATGAATAGCAAAATATTACCAATAACCATTATGATGAAGTCAATTCAAATACATTACGACGTTGCACAACGGACAAGAGGTACCACAAAAAGGAACCATAAATAACAGTGCAATACCGTCCTGTTTCTAATACTACTAGCACGTTCTACTTTCACACTAGTTTTTTGTACTCACTGGATGGTCGGAACTTGGAGACGTCTGCGCCACATTTCTCCCTGTTGTATGACATTTTCTTGCACATGTTCCATGGTCCGAAGTAGCCTTGCTCGTAGCTAGGGTTTACCACTGCGAACAAAGGAAAAATAACGTTAATACAATTTGTTAAGATCTAAAGTAACATTATGAAATTTGCAGAATCAAAAAGTATAAAAATTACGTAGTAGCAATGATTGATAGTAAAAATATTTATTACTAGCTGACCCGTGCAACTTCGTCTGTATTACACATACTTAACATTTATCATTATATTTGGCCCAATTTACATACTGTCTTATTAAATTGTAGCCTATTTGTTATTCTGATCTAAAAGCTATATTCTTGTAATATTTCATCAAAATTAGTTTAGTAGGTTTTACGTGAAAGAGCAACAAACACAAACTTTCGCGTTTATGATTAAGATGTAACATCACGTTACAGCGTTGTGACATAGTGATTTACTATAGGAATCTGGCCGACACCAAAAAAAAACAATTTCTAATGACTGTATATGAGATGACGGTGTATGAGACACCTATAATGTCACCCTACAAATTGAAACATAGCTTATAAAGCAAGCTACTTTGGGGCTGAAATATGTACAGTCGTCTGTACATACAGTACCCCACGGACATGACTTAGTAAGTACAAATTGCGTCTTTAAAACTTGTTTTTCGAGTATGAAAATAACAATGGAAATTATGTTAGATACATAAATACACCCGCCCTCCCTTCCCCCGTACTTCAGATGTTGCGTATAAATACATAATACATACATTGACACAATATTTGAATTGGATGAGCAACACAAGTGTGACCTTAGAGTAACTTGTGACACACTTATTTGGGCATGACAATATGATAGTAAACTTGTTTGACTATAGGTGCTGTAACACTTGTACCTCCGACTATTTGTGTTGTTACAACCTAAATTTTACAATTCAAGTATTTAATAATCGACTAAGATTACGTATTAGTTAATTTAAGTTATTCGTTAGTGAACCGATTTGATTTGGGCCGAATATGTCGGCCCATAAAAGATTTATTTACCATCTATCCACTACTTTTCAGTTTACCCGTGATCATGGCGGTTGAAACACTGCCGAAATATCGGGAACTCAATAAAAATAAAACGTGGTAAAATCCCGTGATTTACTAATTATACTTATTAGTGAAAACCGCACCCAAATCGGTTAAGTCACTTCTATCATTAACGCGCATAAAAGGACAAAAATTTTAAAATCCTTGTTATAGGTTTTATTATGTTGATAAAGTTACTCAATATATGTACTCATAGAAAATTAGTATAGTTATTAGAAGTCGCGGACTTCGTCTCCATGGAATTTACCTTACTATTTATTAAAATAAATAAAATTTCTAAATAGAAGTAGTCTAAGTTACTCCTTTAGCTATCTATTATCTATCTTCAAGTGATAGCCCCTTCAAATTGCATTGCAGTTGCAATTACAAACAGACACTTTAATTTCGTTTATTTGAATATATATATATAATTAAAGTTCAAAGGGGACCTTCGCCTTTTCAACTTACAAAAGGGTCGTACTAAATTAACTGTTATTAATTAAATAATGAATTTATCCTCGCTTCCTCCTAAATATAGACTGTTGGTAATGAGTTGATATAAGTTTGAATTAATCATTTGATTACACTGTAAAGAGAGAGCTAAACTGCATAATCTCGGACACTCCATTCAATGTATGTAGGGCAACGTTAATAGACTTTTATTGTTGGCCATACAAATCCGTCGCACTCATGAATACTGGATATTTTTCAATATACGTAACTCAGAGCGGCCATTGTCTAAATAAATGTATACAATACTCGAACCATTACATTAAAAAGTTTATATTCCCTGCAATTATTAAAAAAATGCACTTTCACGACTATAATAATATGTAAGGCTGATCAGTGATATTGTCAAATGTAGATATTGTATGGAATGCATCAAAGTTCTAATGCAAACTGAGATGGAGAGACCTACCGGCGTTCTAGGATTTGGTATTTCTATTACCGAAGTATTAGTTAGAAATATATTTTAAGTAAACCATTTTTGTTTTAAATTTATTTTGATCCAAGTTTACAGCGCCGCCCATGAGCAGGTGTAATACCAGGGGAATTGCAAGTGACTTGCCGGCCATTTAAGCTCTAGGGAGTTTAAAGACCTTAGCGATTGCTGGGAGGTGATTATATGAGTAGCACCAATCTCATCCAATACCACATGTGCCCTAGAAACTAGTCCAAATTTAGTCCATGACACCAGTACAGGATGACAAAATGGACATGAGGCCAGGTCAGTTAGTCCATCGTAACAAATTCACCATGAATTTATCATGATGGTCTCCAGGAGGGAACCGCCTGGAGGTTAACCTGTCAAGGGGTCATCAGTCCACTTTAATAACAATCCCCTTTCCTCCCCATAATCCCCATTGTTATTCAAGGCTTTCGGCACTTGGAAGTCGTGGCTTAAGTTGACCTCAACGCCCTGCAAACCAATGCAAATATGGGAAAACTCGGGTTAGTGGTATGCAGTTTATAAGAAGTATATTAAGCACCAAGGTTTCACTATAGGTACAGGAAGGTCGTGGAAGCGTTAAGAGAAGAGAGGGCTCGGTCACGACTTCCTGACGTTCTAATTGAATTCGTAATGTATTGCGAATTGGTCGCTAATTGCAACACAGCAAATCGCCGGTTTAAAATATTTAGCGGCAGATTTAGTAACTCAATGTACATATTGTTACGAATTCATGTTTAGATATTTAATATTTTCAAAAACATGCTCACTCTAATTTAAATGTAAGTACAGGATAAAGAATATAAAGAACCTCTCATATTTCTCTTTCTCTCAACCATGCTCGTTTGTATTCTAAGTACATATAGTTTGTTCACTTATAGAATAATATTAACACATTCATTAAAATAAAAAAAAAAACCAAAAAAGCTATTTAAAATATTACTGTGTTGTCACTATTTCCCAATTACGAAAATAGTTCGAAAAGGACCAAACTTAAATTGTTTTTTTATGAAACGCAAAAAGGAAGAAAGCCGATTTGATGGTTAATGGTAACTGTCATCTATATAGATGAAAAGTTTTGCCATTTCGGAAGGCTAAGATGTCATGCCTGCGTACCCTGTTTTTTTAATACTTTATAAGGATAAACCTTCAATGGGAACTCATCTAGCAGCCTACTTTACTATAAGTAAAGTAAGCTGCTTGGCGGCTGAAATAGATACGACAGAAGAAAGAGAAACCCACGCAGACAATTTTGTACAAAGTCTAATTAAGTCAAAATAAGTTTATTACAAATTTATTTTGATGTTTTTTTAATAAACGTTTGAGTTTATATATTTTTATGTTTTTATTAATAAGGTTTCGTCTATAAGAATATGCAGTTAAAATATTAGTAGGTAACTCCCACAGTCCTGTCCATGTGCATTTAATTCCCGTTGTCACTGCATTGCAAAAGTGGGAAATTTCGTAATTAATTAGTCATCCACATTAAGAAGTAAATGAAATGATGATAGATCAATGGAACTTTAAGTAGTTGTCGTTGACCGAGATTTAACACGAATATCTGTTCATCGTGTTCCAACTAATCATATGATTAAATATGTAAAGATGTTTGACGTGGGAGTAATGTATGGTAAGACGTGTTTGTATATCAATATATTCAGGTGCAAAGGTAATAAGTATCGTTAACAAGTAATTATACAACTTAAGGTGTAGTAATTAGAACATATTTTGCGGAATCTATAAATACTAATGACTAAATATATGGTTGTCTCATAACCGTAAATAGAGGACTAAACTGAACGGCATTTATTAATTTATTTTCATATATTGGATAATTTTAATACATTTTTATACTTTATAAAGACATAGTTGATAGAAAACAGACAGACCAATAAAAATAATCATCATCCATACAAATGTTTGTATCGTTGAACGCTCAACGGTTGGAAGTAAGGCTTTGAAGGTAGGTACGTTTAACATATTATTTAATAGCATAATTTGGAAGCCTAGTGTCGACTGTTCGGCGGCCAAATTATTAGGCATCCAAACTATATACGTGCTTTATTCATTACCTGACGATGCCGCATTCAAGAGCGTAACACGTGTCGCAAATAGTCACAATATAGTTGTAGATGCTGAATATTTGCAGTTTTACAAATGCTAGTGTTAGGGGAATTAAACAAAATAATATAAATCCGTTAAATGCTGAAATTGACTCCCACAAAATAACAACTAATTTGAAAAAACATGTACAAGATCTTAGTCCACGGGGCATATGGTGAAGTGTTGTCGAGGTGCTGTTCATGTATACAGGCAATAGCTGCCATTTCTGTCAATCAAATGAGACATATTCGTCATTGCCATTTTAGTAAAAAAAATAGATTATTAAGGCGGTTAATGTTTAAAACAGGTCTCGTTTTAAACATTTGGTTACTTCGATTGCCATTTTCTGAGAACAAAACTAGCAGATGCGTTATTCCAAACCATTGGATTTCCCATATACAATTTTAATTAAATCCACTGGCCATTCCTTTTGCATGACTGAGCAGTATACATTCAATCGTTCATTTAGTTATCTTAGGTTCGACAGACCCTTTCATTTACTGAGGTGAACATGACTTCAAGTTTACACGAGTCTATCTATGTTAGAAGTACAATATTTTCTCCAAGGAAAACTGTATGTTATGTGTTGTCTGTTTTCTCATACAATAGGAGCACGATGATAATATTGTTTGAGATGGTATTTCATGTGAGATGGTATTTTAGTTTCTGGCGCGTAGTAGATGGTGAAGTTCGTGCTGAATTTCAAAAATTCCTCAGAAAATTAGCATACGCTAGAACTCTTTTGATATATATTATTTTTAATGTAATCTAAACTATGAGTTTAATATTAAACACTCAACATTTATTGCATTCCATAATGTTTACCTGTTACAGTGTTTGTCTTAACAAGTTTTATTAGGTAACATTATCACAAAAGTAGGGAAAGTGTGAATTTTTTAATACACATAACTACATAGAAATTTCCAAAGAAAACTGGCTTGTAGCTAGTCTATCGAGA